ATTAATACCGCAGAAGCAGGTGACGGGTGTAATAGCTAACAACAATGTGACCGAGCGGGAATGATAAACTACATTTTCCTATGTGTGAGAATTATTATTAATATAATCACTCTCATAAAAAAAAAAAAATCGTGTTAAAGGTTACCAAGGAAAGGATGAAAACCGCCGTAAAAAAGATATATAATTCTGCCCTTTTCATTTAGATATAAACTACATGGTAAAAGATATAGACAGTCGTAAAAAATATTATTCCACTTTTTTTTATTTTTCAGTCCAAAATGAGTGATTAAGAGGTAAGAAAAAAATGACTAGACTTATAGAATTTCAGGCCAAAATATGTTGAGCAAGCAGAAGTAACGTCCAGAAGAGGTCGGGACGACCATCGTGTCGTCCATGCTTGGCATACACGGTACATCTGTCGGTTTCTAGGACCAGGGACGGCAGGGCTGTCGGCCAGCTGTGGCGGACAATTTAGTAATGGCCACCGCCCACAGCGTCCAAGTCAACATGGGACACTGGGGCTATTGTTCTTTATTGTGCAAGCCGATGTGGAAACCGGCTCGCTTATCCCAGGTCGGTGTGTGCCGCGGCCCAGATATTTTTTTATTTTTTTAATTTCAGTTTTATTGATTTGTTTAGTTAATTTATCGTATTTTATTAATTATCGCATCATAATTAAATTGAATAGAATTCATTTAAGCAATTTATCCATGCAAATCTATTACTTTATGCCATTTTAAGTTTTTTTTTATTTAGTAAGAGTAATTAAGTATTTTATTAATATAAATTATTTAGAGTATATGTTTGGAATTTGTATGATACAGCTGAAAACGAATATAACAGTGTTTCTTATAACACTAATGGGATATTCCAAACAGATGATGATGCTATTTTGCGTGCGACACCACCTACAAAATAAAAAATTATTTATATATAGTAATAAATAATTAATAAAAATTAAGAAACAAAAAACAACAAAATTAAACTTGTATCATTTCGGGATAAGCTGTCAAGGTCCTTCTGTAACTTCTTCAATCGCACCTCTCCCTCTACAGCAGTACACGCGGTTGGCTTCTATTGTGCAGCTCCGGGTCCATTGCCCACCTGGTCTGCGTTATGAGGCCAGAAGATCAGGAAATTCTTATATATCCAGGCTAGCGATAGGGTCAATCAACCCCCCATCTGCTTGACACCACCTCTACTAACAACCCCTAACTGGCTGTAAAGGTATGCTAAAGTGGCAGATACCCAGAAACGACTTGAAACGTGATCAAGGTTGACAAGTCCAAAATAAACCCTAGGCCTATTGGGCCTAGGATTAGGTTACTTGGAGATTAAGTCACCGCCTAAACCTATTCCGTTAGGGTTTCAGGAAACATGTAACACCACCTCTATATAAAGAGGTGGTGCCTCTCCCATAATTCATATCTTCTACCTATCTTCTACATCTTTTACACACGATACACATATCTCTCTCTATTCCTTTATTGACTTAAGTATCGGAGAGTCTGGCCTCGGGAGACACCCGAGGCTCTGCCTTGCAGGTTTTAGGCTGTCCGCCGCCGCCTAGGTCATCATCGCCGCCCGTCCTAAGTACTGTACAAATCCAAGCTTCGTCAAAGGTTATCAAAAAGCTCGTGATCAGCAATTGTAATTATTAAATTTTATTTATTAAATTCAACATCAAATAACTAATAATTATATGATTAATATTAACTTCAATTTTCACACAAAATTAATTCATACCAGTTGCTACTGTAGCACTCTTACGGGAATCTGCCTCTGTCCCAGTGCCACTACGACCTCCAGGCAAGGTAATACGAAGTCGGGGAATTTGGGGGGGAGGGGGGGATATCACCACTCTGTGTTGTGAAACATTGTGGACAGGCTCTTCTTGCTCAAACGAGGGTGCCTGCTGATTTAAGGTGTGTCCAGCTCTGTGTGAATAACTGTTGGCACTCCATTTTTGCTCCATCTCCTCATTCTTCACATGTTCATTTTCATTCCGACCCGATGGCAGGACATTTTGTGATTTCACATGTCGCTTACCCGATTCTTTTTTGATCGGGACAAGTGATTCCTGCATTTAATCAATGTTAATTACATAACCAAATAATTACACTAATACAAATTATTTTGTTCAACAATATTTAATTCACTAATAAATGATATAATCATTAATTATAAAAAATACTAATTATTAGTAATCATATTAATAAACTAATTTCATGAATTAGTAAACAATATTCAAATTATTATCAAATAAACTATATTTATACAATAATTAATCATTAAGTTATTTAATAACTAACTATATTAAATTGAATACTAATTAATAATAATTAAAAATATATTAATAGTATAATTAATATTAATCACCATAATACTAATCATAAAACTAAATATTAATCATATAATTAATATTCATATAAATAACTTAAACTAATTAAGCTCATTAAAACTAAATCAAACTAATTAAATTAAAAGAACTAAATAAAATAAAAAACTAAATTACACTAATTAGATTAAAAGAACTAAATTAAACTAATTAAAAACTATATTAAAAAATCACAGAATATAATAAATAAATTAAATTATTGAACTGCAAAAAAATAATTAAAAAATAATAAATAATATTAAATTAGTAATTATTCAAAAAAAAAAAAAAATTCTTGGCCGGCGGCGTGCCGGCAAGGAAAAAACAAGACGGTGACCGTGTCGTCTTGTTTAAAGGTGGACGACGTCCATGCCGTCCCCTTTCTCAGTCGACAGTAATTGGGCCGTCGACTCTGCCGTTAGACGGCACTTGGGGCGTCCCTCCTTCCCGCGGACGTGACCACCGGCGTCAGTTTCTTCTTGGACGCCGACGCCGGCCGGTGTCTATACCGTCCAAATCGGTGGTCGACGGCTCATGTGCCGTCTTTGGCTTCTTGGGACATCAGGCCGGTCGGCCAGTCCACCGGTTTTCAGATTCAAAAAAAAAAAAAATTAGATTCAAAAAAAAAAAAAGTTCAACGATTTGAGAAAACTTAGTCGTTCAATGGATGTTTCCCGCGATGGCGATCTCCTCCGGCCATCCATTTGAAGTCTAAGAAGATTGAAAATTGGAGATTAGATTTGAGGTTGAAAGAAATTGGAAGATTAGAGTGTGGGATTAAATTATTGGGGTTTTAAAGTTTGAATTTGAAATTTAAAATATAAAGATAAAATTCAAAGTCAACTTTTAGTCAATGACTGTCTTTATATTTTTCCTGTCGACTTTTAAACTTCTAGTAAAAGTAATTAACTTTATTTTATTATTTTTCTTTTAGTTTGATCAATTATAAATTTTCTCTTATTGAGAGAATATATTCTCTACTACTTGTTACTACAACAAGCAAATGTCCATAGGTTATGAAATTGAAGAGTTTGTATAAATTTCGCTCACTTAGATTCACATAAATAGTTTAGATTACAGTTTATAAATTATACCGAGAACAATACAAAACACAATTTTTAAAGTGGAATATTTTTCCGGAACAAGTAATTATACTTTATTGATTGTTTGGGATGTCCTGATCAATTTTTTTTTTTTTGTTTTATTTCTCATTACTATTTTTATTCTTATTTTTCTGCAGAAATTTGTATGGGTTTCATTTGTTTTTGAATCAAAATACTGCTAGTTGTTAAGGGAACTTGTAACGACAATTGAGCTATATTTTAATATGGAACTCCTGCCAAATTTCCGTTGTTTTGATAATGTCAAAATGATACTGTTAATTATACCATGGAAAAATAGAACGCGCGCAGGCGCGGATTGAAATGAAAAGCACTACCTCGTGTTGGACCGCGCCTCTTTACATTTATCAAAAGTACAGAATAACACGTTTCGAATAAAAATTTAGTAGAAGCCCCCTCGACTAGTTAGATTAGGGCTTTTTGCCATTACAGTTTTGCGTGGTTCAAAACTATTTATTTTCTTTTGTCCCAAAAAATGGTCCACTCTGTTGAACTAAAACAACACAATAAAAGAAGTATAAATGGCATTTGCACGTGTGTTCCACTGTTTTGCCACATATTTGAACATAATTTTTTATATATATATTTTAAATGGAATACCAAAAAGAAGCATATAAATTATATGGTACTCTCGCGATTCTGAAAATGATGGCTTAGTTTAAATTTAATACAAATTTTACTAAATTTAAAATTTTAAACATGATAATCATTTTGAGACAGAGTGAGTATAACATTAAATTTTTAAATTGTGTAATTTTCGAAACTTTATATAGATCATTTGAATATCTATCTCTTATTCTCCCATAAAAGCGAAGGTACCAAGAAACGACGCCAATGAAATCAACGGATCAGAAGGAGAGAAAAGACGACCTCATGAAGAGGTTGATACCATGAAAGTGTCAAAACTCTTAAGATTATTATATTGATACATCAAGTATATATAGTAAAATCACATATACATAATTACAATTATAAACTTATCCATATATACATTAACAAAATGCAAAAAAAAAAAAAGCGTTTTAAATCTCAGCAATCATCATATATAGAGTATCTCTTGACTGCTGTATATAATGTAATTAACATGTAAATATTAAAAAATGGGACCATTGCTCCATTTAGAAAGAAATAAAAAAAATCCAAATAAAAAGGAAAAAGAAACCCCTTTATACATTAGACACTAGGATAAGGCAAATCTAGACACACTTTTTAGTTTTTAAGTTTTAACTAACAATCTAACATCACAAATTACCTTACATGAATTAAGAGGCAAAACAAAAGTTGTTTGATATTTGGCCGACCGGGGAAGTAGAAGTCAATCAATCAACCCAAAAATGACAAGCACTGGCAGCAAATGTAAGGGATTAGATTGTAAGACAATGAAAAATAAAAGGGCCAAACAAATAAACAAAATTATCCTTTTCTGGATGCTAAAAGGGCAAAAAAAAAAAAAAAAGAAGTATAAAAAGAAAATGTGGGGGAAACGAATTCCGCCTGTTTGAACAGCCCACTGGAAAGAAGAATGGCAGGAAAAAAAGATGGCCCATGGTTTTGGCTTTCCCTCCTCTTTGAAACCAACCTCCTCTTTGCTGTCTCTGTGGGAAGAAAAAATCTTTTACCATCATCTCATTCTCATCTCATCTCTCTTCTCTACTCTTCTTCACTTTTCCTTCACCATTTATACCGTTCTTCTTCGCCCCTGTTTCACTCCCATTACCCACCTCCTTGATCCCGGATAATCGTCAGAAAAATCCCGACCAGAAACTGCAGGATATTCCAAATCCACATCTTGGGTTTGCTGTTTTTTGTACTTGTTACCTGCAATTTTTACCCCAGACAGTGGTCGAAGGATTTCGTACATAAATATCCCAGAAAAAGGAATTTTTTAAAATCCTGCACTTGATTTGATTGATCATCCCTTTTGACCTTTATTGTCTGAGGGTTTCGTATTTTCTCTCTTTTTTTCCCCTGGGTTCGTTGGAGGAAAGTTGTGAGGTAGGATATATGCATATGGGGATCGAGAGAAATGTAAGTAAACCGAAAGGGAAAATATACAGCGAGTCGAGGAAGAACCGGCGCCGGCAAAAGAAACCCACCATGGTTCAAAAGCTTTATGATACTTGTAAGGAGGTTTTTGCTGATTGTGGCCCAGGTGTTGTTCCTTCGCCGGATAAAGTTGAACGGCTTAAGGCGATTCTAGGTACTTTTCTTGGTTCATTGTTTTGGCCCTTTTGGGGTGGTAAATATTGACAGTAATGGGAGTCTTTGGCATGTGTATGTTAGTCTGATTAAGTGCTATATTTGGCATAGTTTGAGACTTTTAGTCATCTTTGCTTGCTTTTGCCATTTTTGGGGGTGAAATTTTTGTTGAATATCTTAGTGATACTTCGTCTGTATTATCCTTTTTAAGCATAATGTATTGTCTTTTAACTAGGTGTTCCAACTATGTTAATATGAAGATTTTGATTGGGTTTTCGGGTTTGCTCTCATCAGTCTCTTATGGTAAGTACAAAGAAAGTAATATGGCTAACAAACACAATGGGATAGCATGATGATTTGTTTGGACATTATCTTCATTCCCCCACACCCCCAGATGTTTGGTGTTTGTGTTTGCGAAACTAGTCAACGTCGTACTAACAGGTGTAATGAACTTCCTGAAATCGGGTGCATGTGGGATGCTTCAATGTAAAGGTTTTCTGTTGTTATTTGCCACGTTAACCCAATGTGCTTCTTGTCCATGGCGGTGCATTATGTGCTCTTGTCCATGTGGGTTATCAAACGAGTAAAGCTGCTGATAGATTGCCTTTTTGAAATGCATCTTAAAAAAGTCGCAAATGTGTTCCGGAAATTGTTTTAAAATGTTGTTTTGCTTACCTTTAAACACATTTTGTACTGCAACTTGTAGAATGTAGACCTTGAACAAAAGTTCTTTCATTATGTTCAAACACATATTATATTGCAACTTGGACCGCAAAAACAAAAGGTGGACCATATGGAAATGTTTATAAATATGGAAACCAATGACTGTGCTTCAAGACTTCCAAAAGATCAAACAAAGATTTGTTTTAGAACATGAAATACCAACAGTATTTTTCATCTTTGTCGTTGTGAATTCAAAACCACAAATCAAAAGGGAGTCTGCAAAGCTACCATTTTGAGCACAATACATTATTTGATGCAAAATAGTACACAAGTCTAAAATAGGTAAGGTAGGTGAAGGTTGTTACTCTAATTGAATAAGGTTGAGATGGTCATGTTATTTTCTTAAAGAAAAGTAGGTGTTAGCTCCATTTTCAAAGAACTCTCAGTTTCCAGTAGTAGTAAATGTTGATGTAAAACCGGATTACTTGTACAAAACAATCATGGCATTCTCAGGTTCTAATATTTTTATATAAACACTGGTGTTATGCTTGAATCCTCCACCAATTGCCACATGATGCCATTTCTCTTACATTTTCTGCTAATGCAGCTCAACCAATGAAATTGTGAACATACTGGGGGGCCCTTCTGTTGGAATTTTAGTATGGAATTGAAATTTGTGGCTTATGTCAAAATGATTTTGTCTAGATAGTTCCATCTTTATTCTGGGCTGTACCTCATCAGCCTTATTAATTTGTATGTTTTTCGCAAATGCAGATACCATGACTGAAATAGATGTAGGCCTGAGGCCGGACATGCCATTTTTTAAGGCATCAACAGCTGGAAAATTTCCGAGGATCACCTATCAACATATTTACGAATGTGACAAGTTTTCGGTATGTTGATCAAAATGTCTCATGCAATGTTGTAAATTGGATAAGTTGCATTCAATTGGTTTACCTTCTCCCCTCTCCAACTACAACTTGGCAAACTGATCTGTGGAGCTTTGCAGATTGGAATTTTCTGTTTACCGCCAAATGGTGTCATCCCACTACATAATCATCCTGAGATGACAGTTTTTAGCAAGCTTCTCTTTGGAACCATGCACATCAAGTCGTATGACTGGGTAAAAGATGGCTCCACTGGCACACCTCTTCTTGCTGATCCTTTAGATGGTAAGTCTTCTGCGAAGCTGGATGTAGCTTAGTTATTCCATTTCCTTTTGAATCCACAACCTCCGGGATCGTCATTATGTTTTTTCTTGTGTGGATGATTTTAAGAACACCTGGGGGGTTCTGAGTGCACCTTAGAAATTATCAACCTACGAATAGTTGAAAATAGATTGCGGATCAACTTTTGGCCTTGATAGATGTAGTGAATTATACATGTAGGGAAACATTTTACTTGATTGTTAAAGTAGCTGTGGCTTAACGAGATCCAACGTATTATGTTATTATGCAGGCCAATCTGGATGTGTACGGCTTGCAAAAGTCAAGGTTGACTCCGAATTTACTGCTCCATGCAACACTTCAATTCTCTACCCAGCTGATGGTGGAAATATGCATTGCTTCACCGCAAGGACTTCCTGTGCGGTACTAGACGTGCTTGGCCCCCCCTACTGCGATCCAGAGGGTCGCCATTGTCAGTATTATTTGGAATCTCCATTAGCCAAATACACAGGTATGGACCAATGCATTGTGTCTTGAAAGTGCTACACGTCTTAGTCATTGACTTGCATCTGCCTGACATTCTTTCATCAGCAAGTGTATTGTTAATCCCATACTTATGGAATGTTAATTGTGATGTAAAACGATGCATTTTGCTTTGTTTTGCCCCTTAGGATGTCAGAGAATGTTGGTCATGTGAAATTGAAGTGCATTACAATCCCTACTCTCATTTATACTGACATTCTCACATGACCATGTTTCTTAAGCAGTTAACAATGTAGTGATTGCTGAGGAAGAAAATGACGGCTATGCATGGCTTGAAGAGAGAGAGAGGCCTGAGGATGTAACTGTAGTTGGTGCATTGTACACTGGACCCAAAATAATAGAGAAATAGTCCATATGGAGAGCGTGCTTTTAATCAGGAGAACTCGGGAGTAAAAACAGTTGGATACATAGCAGCACACACAGTCACTTGGAATGTTTTAATCTTTTGCCCTTTTTTTCTTCCTCTGTAATCCATCCTAGTTCTAGGCGTTCTTGTACTCTCTGAAGAGTCCTTTTCTTGTACATATAAAATGAAAAGGGAAAAAGAAGAAAGAGGCTGTTCATTAGATTGTATTCTCCCTTCATCCCAAAAGAGAGTCAGTAAAGACGTAGGGCAGTGCCAGTTATTGACACCAATTGTGCTTAACACAGGTTCATGTTTCATCTTTTAGTGGCTTGAATTTTTTTTTGGGATAAACCTACGCAGGCATTGCGGAGTATGTCAACTAATTGAAGAAGAAAGACCAATTTCTCAAGTAACAGTCTTGCAAAAATGTTATCGGCCAGTATTTGAGCTTATTGAACTCAGTATGATGCTTTTCATTTTATCATCACAGGTTGGTGTATGGTTTTCTGTTAGCTTCTTTTCCACTTTCTTTTTCTTTGTTTTTTTATTAAGGAAAAAAAAAAGATTAGTAAAACAATATAGTATTTGGATTTGAGGGAATCATCTAGTAATTGGTTAGGCCCTGCCAAACTGAACCCAATAAGTAGTTATAACTGGGGCAGTCCATTTGTACAAGCCCAGTTCCAATTTATCATGATTAGAGTAATATTGTGTTAATAATTCAATACTTGACTTGTCAATCAAGGAGGAGAGATTGATTCCACCTAACTGCTAGATTATAATTCGGGAAGACAACTCTTTTTGGGGAGACTTATAAGCCTCTTTAAAAAGGGTTGGAGTGTCTCAAAATCATTCATTGATGTTGTTAGATAATGTAATTTAGTAGCGGATAATATACTGGCGAAATACAAATTTTAATTATCACTTAGAATCCATTTATTTGTTTGAACTTCACTTTGGATTTGTAAAGTTTATTAAACCAGGATTCCCTCTCGAGAATGAAGTTTGGGATTACGCAATTTGCTTCTCTAGGTTTTGAAGAAAAGAAAAACAAAAATAGATTTCATATAAATCGACGTAACTTATTTGACCTTTCTGTAACCAGTTTTACCGTTCATCGTTGTATTTGTATATATCAAAATTTGACAATCATTTTGAATACAAGACAGAATTTTATTTCATTTGCTGTAGTAGGCATTGGATTAAAATAAAATGAGTTTAAGTAAAGGGTTGATCAAAAGTTAGGAATCTGAAACCTAAGTGGTCGATCGTGTCCGGTCAACTAATTCGGTAGATTTGGTCAAATGTTCTTAACCTAGTCGCGTAAAGTCCGCTTTTACAATTTTTTCAAAGTTGTTCACGTAAGAGCAAGTTCTGATGACTGTCAACTGATCATTTTAGAAAAATACTGACCCAGATCTAAACTTAGAAAATTAAAATAAAAACAACAACTACTTAAGTTAGTTGCCTAATTGTCTTTATCATTGACACAAAATCTATAGATTAAAAACTCAATTTGGTGCCTCAAAAGTCTTCTCATAAGTCATACAAACATTTTTCCGTAATTACTAGCATCTCAGTTACATAGGACCTTTATCTTTTGGTCGGTCAAACACAATTATATTCACTCGTAATATCTAAAACTCTTTGTTTTCAAATATGATTTCAAACTATTATAGAGGATTCTTACTATTTTTGCTGTCATGGAATCATAATTGCACCAGGATGATTGCTAATATAGGAAAGAAAAGTTTTTTAATATATATAGATATATACTCTCTGTATATTTATTGAATTAAAACAGTAAACAATAATAAAATGCTTTATTGAATTAAAAACAGTAAAAAGATGGGGAAAAAATTGTTATTTACAGTTATAAAAATTACTCATTTACAGTCATTAGGACAATTTTGCCCCTCTTCCTCCTATTTTCTCCTTTCTTCCTTTTTCTTTTTCTCTTTTCTTGAAAAATGTAATTATTGATCTTACTCATTTAAACAAACTAATTATTAAAAAAAATATAATCAATAACTAAAATGAATATAACAAGAATAATAAAAATAACACAAAAATATAAATAAAACTAAATTACTAATATTACTCATTTAAATTTAATTAAATTTAAAAAATATCAACAACAAAAAATTAATACTACTTATTTAAAAAAAAATTAATTATTTAAAAATATAATAAATAACTAAAATGAATATAACAAAAAAAAAAGTTGAAAAAAATTTTTAGTCAGGGGGTAGCCGGCCCGAAACCAGCTACCCAAGAAGGACCAGCAGGCTCAAAACCGACTACCCAAGGAGAGGTAACCAGTTCTGGATTGGCTACCTCTCCTTAGGTAGTCGGTTTCTGGCCGACTTGTTCTCCTTCGGTAACCGGTTTTGGGCCGGCTACACCTGACCAGAATTTCTTTTTAATTTTTTTTAATTTTTTTTGTGTTATATTCATTTTAGTTATTTATTATATTTTTCAGTAATTAGTTATTTTAGATGAGTAGTATTAATCTTCATTGTTTATATTTTTAAATTTAATTAAATTTAAATGAGTAGTATTAGTAATTATTGTTGATATAAATGAAATTTAATTTAGTATTAATTATATCATTGTGTTATTGTTATTATTCTTCCTATATTCATTTTAGTTATATATCTTTTAATAATTAGTTTCTTTAAATGAGTAGGATCAATAATTATATTTTTCAAGAAAGGAAAAGAAATAGTAGAAAAAGGTGGAAGAGGGCAAAATTGTTAACGACTGTAGATGAATAATTTTTATAACTATAAAAAGTAATTTAGTAAATTAATTTGTTTAGACAGAGTTAGTGCTCAAATATGGGGATGCCGACAAACTTATGTGACTTGTAGTAATTTTGTGATTACTCAAGCTTAACATTATAGAACTTATTAAATGTATCATGTAGTTGTTAGCCTAACCGAATGGTAACTTAATATGGATTTTTATGTATCTCAGAGATGCAAAATTAAACTAATGAATAACGACATAATTGAGCTGACTTTTTTTGTGATCCATTCCATTTGACCGTTCACAACTATCAAACCAAATAGAAACCTTTTTTTAATGAGAGTCCCAAGTGTAGCTCCCATGAATTCCATGCTTTGCCTTTTTCTGCCTAGAATGCCGTAAGAAAATTAATGGAATTCACTGAGGAACCGGAATCTAGGTGGCGAAGTGATGGTGGTCCAATTGACCAAGCCATGGATGGAACCGTGGTCGTGGAATCTATAGTCCCAAGTAGCCTTTAAGGTTTTGTCTCCTCTCTTCTCATCTATTTTGTCACATGAATGAATATTGTTTAACTGTCACTATACTGTTTGAGCAGGAGTGATTCCAAGATCAAGAAAATTATAAAGTTTATAGAATGATTTATGTAGTAATTGGGTTGGACAACTACAATGTGATTATCGCTTGACTTTGATAGCGAGTTTCATTGTTTCTATTGATAGTTCTAGCAAATATGATTATTTTTTGTTTTAATACTTTGAACATTAGTCTCCTTCATTGTATTAAAAAAAAATTTAATGAAATTTAATGTCCCAGTGACAGACCATGTAATATTTATATTAGGAGAGTTAAAAATGTCAGATACATTTGTTGGAAGGATTTTCAATTCACTTTTTTTTTTCTTTTTTTCTTTTTTTGTACATAGGAGGCAAAAAGCCTTGATTGCACAGTTACATTCCTAGGTAAGAAACCCTTAATACATCATAGCGTAATCACTGTGTGACATTCGCTGGCGGGTACGGTAGTTTCCTAATACTCCATTCTACTTAATATGTCAAGTCTGCTAGTGTATCTGCTGCAAAATTGGCTTCTCTATATACATGGCCTAGCTCGACCATCCAGTCTCTAGCCATCAATTCTCTAGACCCTTTTATGATTCCGCCAGGGCACCAACAAGTGGACTTCCGTTCAAAAACAGCTTCACTGCTGTAGTACTGTCCACCTCCACCATCAACTTCTTTTCACCAGTTTCTCACGCCAATAACAGACCCTGGCACAGTCCCCACAATTCAACTCCAGTAATAGTTATCTCCCCAATATTCAGTGTGAATTCTTAGATCCATCTACCCAATTCATCCCTTATAAACCCCCTGTTCTCGCTTCCCCTGTGATCGGGTCATATGACCCGTTCGTATTCAATTTTGTCCATCCAGGAGGTAGAGGAACCCTATGAATCAGAATTTGCTGCCTAATACCATTACTACCACCCAACTTCTTGGCTGACAAAACCGCCTCCTCGACCAGAACCAATCTCCCATTTCTTAGGTTTAAAGTTATTTGTGTATCTACCAAAATGATACTATTGTTCTGAACCATTATAGAGGAAGATCCTGATAAAATATGCACTTTTTCTAGAATGAAATCAAATCGATCTACTTTGATCTGGGATTTTAATTTAAATTTTTTAACCCTCGATACTCAATCAAATTTTCTTTTTTGACGATTGACTGCAATTCGATAGTCCGATATTTAGTTGACAAAGGCAAAACCTGATAGGATGACCAGTCAACGGTGTCTATGGACCCGAGACCTGCAAAATAAGGGTTAGCACTCCGACGAGTAAGTCAGTCTATGGAATGAGAGAAATAAATCATATGAGCTAGGAGTAGAATGAGCTTACTCTTTACCTCAAAATGGTGGTATATATAGAGGTAAGATGGAGAATATTCCAGGAATATTCTCTGAACTTAATAAGCTTGGCCTATTTTAGGGACCAATTAGCCTAATTAGCCCTAAAAAAGGTGGTTTTGGACCCTTGAATGTATGTTGGCCCAAGTGCATATTTTTGCCTCATCATTAGTAATTCTAGAGTTGTTCATTTGATATCGAGGATCATCAAATAAGAAAGTATACTATTTCTACGAAAAATGCAATTTAAAATTATAATAATTAAACTTGATTGGCTGATTGAGTTAGTTATAACGAGATAATTTTATTATTAATTATTTTTTTTGGTTCTTATTATAAGTCATCTTGATTTGTCCTTAGTTTCATTTACCATAAAAAAAATATTTATAATAATTAAGAGAATACAATAAATGTAAAAGTACATTTTTAAGATTTTATTTTTAATTAAAAAATATAGTAAATTAAATTTAGGACAAATCAAAATACTTTATAATAGAGATAGGAAGGAATATAATTGATTCTCTTCATTCACAAAACAAAGGGAACATGTCCCGAACATTCTCTTTATTCATCGTCATTTGGATTGTCGCCATTATATGACCATTTCTTGTAGCTCAATTATTCTAGTGACTTGAATGGTTTGCGTTTCTTGTGCACTCAAAAATAAAATGTCTTTTCTTTAAAAAAAGAATAAAAATTTGCTGATCGCATGGTCGACGGACTCCCTTTATATCCCTAGTTCTGTCCCAATGTGTGAGTTCAAAACATCGAGAACAACAAGATCCATCAACTCAATTCGATTCACAACAATGAGTGCTTGGCACTATCCAAGAGATGGTTAATTTGACTAATAAATCCAGTTTAGATGGAGGGGTCTACATCCGGTACTCGAGTAGTCATGGCTAACAAATAAGTACGTTTATGAATGCTTTAGTAGCTGTCAAGCTAATTAAATCAGGTCCGCCAGAATAACATGCCGGGTCTATGCTTGCATGGTGGATTTTTTTTTTTTTTTCTAGAAAATAAATTGAACGAATTTGTACGCATAATAAAAATAAGACGTATTTGTCATGTATTTGTAATTTCTACTTTCTTTTATGTGTCGTGATTTATAAATCTTTTTTTATTTTTTAATAAATCTTCTGTCTCAAAAAAAAATAGTTCGGATTGAGTTTTAAAATTTGTAGTAAATTTATATTGAGTTTTGAGATTTATACTTTCAAAATTCAATATAGACTATTTAGTTTTAAAAAAGGTTTTTATGGATTTTACCACAAGGGAATTTTTATTCACTTCGGAAAATGAAAAGAGATGTATACTTTTCTAGAACAAGAAATGGAGATAATACTGCTTTAACCTTGAAATACAATAAATATAACTATAATTTTAAGACAGTAGAAATATAAGGATTAGATAGATAGGTAGACAATGAAGACCTCCGTTTCAGTAGAAAAATACCAATTCAAAGCTTTGGTTTTGGACAGTCATGACCTCTAAGAAAGAGTCGCAAGAACATATTGTATCCCCAAACACCCACCCCCTCCTCCCCGAACTCAAAAAAACTAGTAATAGTACAAATAAGAATTCAAGGAAAAGTGGATGGTGGATTCAATATTTCATTTGCCAAAGAGGAATCCCTAATAAAAAGTTCGCCTGGATCGTCAACGGTAAAAATTAATCATTTCATCTCAGAAATCCGATATGGGTTGGAGGAAGAGATGCGTAAAATGAAACGCATTAACTTGAAGATCATAAAGCAACAGCAAATTCGAAGAACCTATACTTACTAGTAATCTCGTACATTACATACATAATCAGCGTACGTCGAAATTAAGTGTCACAATTAATTTGGACTTGGTTCAGGTATAGAATTCCTTTAGGTAGCATATTCTTCAACTAATATTTTGGGTCATCAGAAATGTACTAATTAGACATCAGTCTCCTCCTTTGTAACCAAAATATTTTTTACAAAACCGAAATTTGAAAACTAAAGAAGTATTTGTGATGACTACTAATGAGTAAAAAAAAACGTAAGAATCATTTTGACGAGAGCATTGATATAAATTTTTTGAAATGTTGATCTTCCATTACTTTTGATGAACAAAAAGTACGAGGTCCAGTAAATCAAGGTAAGATATCACTGCTTCATGGCTGAAAATAAAGCAAAAAATTGGAAACGATGATGAAATATTGCCCCGAAAAAATACCATTGATGAATGATCAAAGGGCTGTCCTATTCAAAGCAGAAATTATATAATCTTTTCGTCTCATTTTAATTTAACGTTCGACAACTTGTCAGTTCACCCTGCAACTCGATCTATCTTATCTCCATTCCCATTGGCGATGAGGCTAAGCTAATAAGAATTATTTGTTGACTGAAAATGAAAAATGATAATAAAAACAACGACTAATTGGTCATAATATCTAATTAAATCCCACTAGAAAATAAATTAGCTAGCAATGACCAGGATTGCTGATGATATGAGATTATGATTTTTTCCCTGCAAGATTAGGATTACTACTATATTTCGTTGACTACCGGACTTTACGGTTCCTACTTTCTACCATTTATGTCATAATAATGTACGTACGTATACAGGTCATACATGTCATCAACCCTTATGTTGAAGTTGAAATTCTTCATTTTAATTCCCATTGTTGGTTCCTTTTTCAACTCTTTGCTTTGTTGTAAGAGTAATATTTATAATAGATTCTCAGTAGGGATCTGAAAATTAATTTTAAAAAATTTGAAGAACGTGAGGTATAGTGGCAGTTGACATTTTTAGTGTGCTTATGTAATTATCATGAAATTAATTGAAGACTTTGATTTAAAGAATCAATCAATTGGGACGTACGTACGATAGTTTCAAACCAAATGGCTGGGGCTATTTAATATTTTTATACGAATAAGAACCATCAAACGATATATAGTTTAGAGAAGAAAAGAAAAAGCTCTCTGACCTTGCAAGCTAATTAGTTAGTTAAGAGAAACGTTAATGATGGCAGAAGAAAACGCCGGCCGGCCGGAAGATATCGGCCATGCAGAAGAAAACATCGGCCGGAAAGCTATCTGCCATGCAGAAGAATGCAATAAAGAAGCTTTGAAGGTAAAAATATGGCATTAACTCTTTTCATCCGTAGATATATACTCCCAAAATTATTGTTCTGTTTGAGATTTCACTTTTAGTATAATTTGAACTAATAATAAAAAACCCAAACTGGACAATAATTATGGGACGGAAGGAGTAAATGAAAACTGAAGTACCTTTTTACGATAACTAAAGACTCTTACTTTGAAACTTGGAGAGTGGTTTTAATGTTGTTATAACAAGTTCGATATTATGTTTTGAGTTTTTTTGTCCTTAAAATGAAAGCTAGACTTCTTAAAGATGTTGTAGGGTTGACTGATTTTGGTCTTAAATTTGTGTTAAGACAGTTAAGCATGCAGTGATCGGAGATCGATTATGGGTTTTTTTTTTTTGTTTCCTTATCAATTAAACCTGCCGTCAATTCAAATTTTTTTGAACCAAAAATTTAAACAAACAATTGGCTACTAAAATTTTAGGAGGATCAAGTTGAAATAGCAAGAGCAGAAATGAGTCAAGTCAAAGAAGAGAATGCCAGGTTGAAGATGCTCTTGGAGAAAATAGATCATCACTACACTTCCCTCCAGATGCATTTTACTGGGATTTGCCACACCCAAAAAAGCTCTAATGAAGCTGAAGATGGTGATAAAATAATTGCAGATTCATCATCAAAGCTTGAAGAAGAACCAGAACTGGTATCTCTTTCCCTAGGGAGAAGTAGTGGTAGTCCAAGTGAACCTAAGAAGCAGCAACATGAAGAGAAACAGCATCATTTGCCCAAGGAAGATGATGATCTTAGGCTTGGTTTAAACTTCAATTCTTTGGAAGACTCCAAATCGGAACGAAAAGATCCATTAAGCCCTGAAAACAGCCAAGCAGAGGAAGAGGAAGAAGGAAAAGAAGCTTGGTCACCAAATAAAGCTTTGAAGGTTGCCAAAAGTGGTGCAGATGATGATCTTTCTCAGTCTGGTACTAAGAAAACCAGAGTTTCTGTTAGAACCAGATGTGATACCCCAACGGTAATTAAGCCAGCCCTCCTTTACTACTGATTAGTACTGGAAATTTCACTTTTTTCAATGATTGATAAGATGATTGTTACAGATGAATGATGGATGTCAATGGAGGAAATATGGACAAAAGATTGCAAAAGGTAACCCTTGTCCTCGGGCGTATTACCGCTGCACAGTTGCGCCATTATGTCCTGTTAGGAAACAGGTGCAAAGATGTGCTGAGGACACTTCCATCTTGATAACCACCTATGAAGGAACACACAACCATCCACTTCCATTTTCGGCCACAGCCATGGCTTCCACCACATCTGCAGCAGCTTCCATGCTCTTGTCTGGCTCTTCTTCGAGTTCCAAATTCACCTCCAATGGTAATTTAAGTACCAACCTGATTGGCCTAAATGTTAACCTGGCGGATAACACAAAATGTCAACCGTATTACTTGCCAAATACTTCTGCAACATCACATCCTACAATCACTTTGGATCTCACCAACGGTCCACCCACAGCATCAAATCAATTCAATATATTCTCCTCCGCGAGCTTTCAATCGACCCCAAGATTGAATTCCACTAGTTTAAGCTTCCTACCGTCACAACCAAGCCTGTTATCATCAATCTGGGGCGACGGAAATCTCAGCTATGGGGCAAACACAATGGCTTATAGCAAGAATCAGATGATGGGGTCTTTACAGCCTGGAAGAATTTCTCAAGAACAAAGTTACCAGGTGCCACTTTTGCAGAAGAATAATTACCAAGCTGCAGCAGTACCCTCAGAACAGGCTCTGACTGAATCTTTAACTAAAGCGATCACATCCGATCCTCGTTTTAGGTCAATGGTTGCAGCTGCGATTACAACAATGGTGGCTAAAGGTAGCGGCTCTGCTAGTGCAAGTGGAGTAACCCTAGTCAGCAATGATAATAAGTATGAAGGTTTAGGAAATATAATGAAGTGGGATGATAAAACCACAGACTGGGTCAAGATGAAAGACTGTTCAGTAGCTAGTTTCTTAAATCATTCACCATATGCTGCACAACGAAGCACAAGCTTGAGGAAACAACAATCTCAACCACCATTTTCTGTGTCAAAGACAGCTGCTTCTGCAACCCTACCTGAAAATGTAGATCAAACCAGTCGAATACTATTGGAGTGATCTACTACCTTTTCAAGGGTTGATATGAAAGGAATTTGTACACCGAAGACATGAAACTTTGGATATATTTACATCATCTGGCTAATCTGGGTGATCAACCTTTCCATGTACTTAGAAAAGATGCTCAGTATAGTTGGGGCCAAAATGCTTCTACTGTTAAAACCTACACGCGGGATTTCACAATGAATCTGTGAGCATACTTTAAAAGCCATACCCACAGGAAATTTTGCCAGAAGGCGGCATACTTTCAAAATCAACACTCTGATTTTTGCATTTTAAACTATGAGCAAAAAATCCAACTTTAGATACAAAAGTAACTTCTATTGTTAAGATTTTTTGGAAATCAATTTAACACAGAAGTAGAACCAGCATTTGCATAAATTTTTTATTTTTTTCTCAATCATTGCATTTTTTTTTTCAGGGTGCATATTGTAACCCATGATCCTAAGCGCTAAAACAAAATTGTTTATCCATCTACAACCCGGACAAGAATGTTTGAACTTTGAACTGACCTCCTGGACTCAAAAAACCAGAGAAGGCGAAAAACCTAGGATATGATAGATCATTAAGTACTAATTGTGTGTGCCTCGAGTTCCGATGTTGAAGCAATGAGGAAACAGGCAGGCCCAATATTATTTGGAGCTGTGGCATCTCCCGATGCCCCAAAATAGATTATCCAGTACGCCTTCAACAACTCAACGGCTTCTTGGAGAAGATCAACCCTACCCAACCTTCAAGAGTTCATGAAAAGCCTCTTGGGGAATATCAACACTACCCACACGTTTCATTCGCTTCTTCCCTTCTTTCTGTTTTTCCAACAGTTTCCTCTTTCTAGTAACATCACCACCATAACACTTGGCAAGAACATTTTTTCTCAGAGCCGAAAGCCTAAGACAAGAAAGCAAAATTAAAGAACCTGTTAGATGGGATTAATTATCCCGCATCTTCATTGACATCTACAAATGATGGAAGTTCATTTTCCTCTTCTCTTTCCTTTCCCAATCTACAAATCAAACAACTTACGTCTCCCTGGCAATGATCTTTGATCCAATGGCCGCTTGTATAGTTATCTCGAACATTTGCCTATTCAGTTGCAAGTATCAGAAACTAAGGGAGTTAAAGCAGAAAAATCAGTGGAACTATTGCGGCTTTTCAACTAGCGTACCTGTCAATGAATTTCTTCAGCTTGTCCACAAGTTCACGCCCAACCCGTGGTGCCTTTGATCTATGGACAATAGTTGCCATAGCATCAACAGGTTGCCCATTCAGTAGAATATCAAGTTTCACCAAATCTGAAGCCTGGTATCTGTTTCATGAAACCAATTCTGAGACAGCTAAACATATCTAAGAAATTATTATAGAAACATACAAATGACATCAAGCGAACTACAGATCAAATAATGAATTCCCATGACATTCAGATAGCTTTTCTAGTGTTTCTGTCAGTACATCTTTGTGCTTTCAAGGGTGCTGATGGCAAGTGTTGTATACATTTAGAGAGAGAGAGACACAGAGATGAATGAAAAAGAAAGCACTTACTCTGCTTCCTCGTAATCAAATGACGCATAACCAGATGTTATACTCTTCAATTCATTGTAGAAGTCGACGACAATTTCCCTCAAAGGTAAACGATACTTCATAAAAGCACGTTGGCTGTACATCACATGAGGAAGATCAGCATTTCCTTTGTGAGAAATAAAGACTAACATATTAATGTTGCATCTGAAAAGTAGAACTGGAAACTAAAGCTATCAAAGACTACATGTTAAATGTCACTCTTTCTAATTTTTTTTTTTAAAAAAAAAAAAATCCACCCCAGTGGACCCCACTTAAATGTGGGTAAACCCCCCCTTACAACCCCTGGTGGGAATCGAACCCTGGTCTATTACCAGGAAAGACAGCAACCTAACCACTAGGTTGTCGTTCAATTCCCACATGTCACTCTTTCTAATAAAAAATGGAGAAAGTACTGAAAAAACAAAAAGAAAGACCATCTCACAAAGTAAATATGCAGTTCATCATGAACCTTGTAACTTTACCTATCAATAAATGAGTACTCCAGCTGCTCCCCCCGCCGATCAGAACAGAGAGTTATAACAGCCCCTACATACCTTCATGTGCAAGGGTGATTCAAATAAATTACAGTCCGCAGAAGAAGATTATGCTGGTACAAGCAAGAAGCACAATAACAATGCTCGCACCCGAATCTGATCATGTGTCAAAGTATGAGAGCTTACTCACTAGGCATAATAATGGTAGCAATAACAGTTGGTTCCATGCAAGCTGTCAATCGATGCTTGGGATCCGAAGGCAATGAAGCAGGATTCTGGACTATTACTTTGCTTAAAAATGGCAGAAGACATGTCAGAGGACAAAGCATGCATTAAATGTATTCTAATACACTTTCACATACCTTCCATCAGAGTACTCAAAGATATAAGGTACTGTAGGAACAGTTGAAATAACATGTGCTTCGTGTTCCTATCACCAAAATAATCAAACAAGATGAGTCGTTAAGTTGTTCGAGCAAAGAGAAAGCTGTTGCTAAACAAATTACTTTAAACTTTGCAGATCTTGCTTGAAATTTCAAACATTTTGGTGGAAACACAACAGTATCCAGTTACAAATATCAACTGACCAACTGAAAAAGTTTACATTCACAAGGTTGGAACTTGGAGAAAGCAACAGAGCACAACAAAATGCAGGCTTGCCATAGAAAAAAATAATGATAGTGAAGCAATACCTGTTCAAGCCTTTGATGAAAAACATCCATATGAAGTAAGCCCAAGAAACCACACCTGTAGCGAAAAAACAAAATGAATGCGCCTACAAGTAAAAAATCAGAAAAACTTAGCATAAATGAAGAGAGGTATATCACCTAAATCCCATGCCAAGTGCTTGACTACTCTCTTTGGTGACAGATACGCTAGCATCATTACATGTCAGTCTCTCTATGGCATGGTTAAGTGCTTCAAAATCAGATCCATCCGCTGGATATAGGCCAGAAAACACCATATGCTTTGCTGCCTTAAAACCTAGTGATATTGGGGGTGGGGGTGGGGTTTAATTGTCCCAATTAAGACAGCATAACTGAGTATAAAAACAGAATCAAAACCACAAGTTGCACACCGCTTCTAGTACTGAGACAAGCAATAGGGCAGGCTAGATGCATTTTCCATTAAGTTCAACACTTCAACCTCACAATATTTTCACTAGTCACAATTATCCAAATAATTAGTTGAAAATCAAAATGTTCAGATGTGCTGGAATCTCTCCAAGAATGGCATATTTCAACTATCCCTCATCTTAAAGTTGAAAATCAGAATATTCAGAATGTGCTGGAATCTCTCCAAGAATGACACTTTTCAACTATCCCTCATCTTAAATTCGAAACAACATTTTTTCAGGAACTCTACTTTTATAGAAACAATAACAAATAAGTATCTATTAAAGTCCAGAAATGAGTATGAACCAATTCTTTAGCACCTCAATTCAATATCTATGGGTAGACTACATAAACAGACACATAATAACCACAAACAAAAAAGAAAGATACCAGGAAGGGGTTCAACATGGCTTCTACTGTGGTGAAGAGTATCCCCAATGCGAGCCTCCTTTGTTGATCGCATACCAGTAACTATATACCCAACTTGTCCAGTTAAAAGGATTCCGGTAGGGGTGAGTTCAGGGTGCATGATACCAACATCCAATATTTCATAGGAGCGACCGGTTGCGGCAGAAGAAATTTTATCACCCTTAGTTATAGAGCCGTCAACAACTGCGACATGGCATATGACACCTTTGTATTCATCATAATAAGAATCTAATAGAAGCATACGTAAAGGAGAAGTACATTTCCCAGGAGGAGGAGGTATCCGCTCAATGACAGCTGGAAGAACCTTCTCCAGACCTAGCCCTGTTTTGGCAGACGTCAAAAGTGCATCATTTGGATCAAGATCAAACATTGATTTCAATTGTTCTTTAACTCTATCTGGATCAGCAGTTGGCTGATCAATTTTGTTTATAACAGGGATTACAGTCAAGTTAGACTCAAAAGCCAGATAAAAGTTTGCAACAGTTTGCGCTTGAACCCCTTGTGCTGCATCAACCACCAAAAGGGCGCCCTGGCAAGCTGCTAAAGATCTAGAAACTTCATAGCTGAAGTCCACATGGCCAGGTGTGTCAATAAGGTTCAGTAAGAAATTTGTGTCTGACCCGAGGAAGTTGTGTGTGTGGAACATTGTTGCAGTCTGTGCTTTAACAGTTATCCCGCGTTCTCTCTCAACCTATGTCATAGATTACCACCTAAATGTGAGCCATAAATAAGAACCATCGACTTGAATGATCATATATTGTACAAGCAAATTTTTACACATGACACATGATGGCGCAATGACACAAAGCATATCAAAGTACTGTGTCAACGTTACTACTCTAAAGCCAACAGCTACATTTGTACTGCCAAATATTCAACAATTCAAGACTGTACAATATCGAGCAAATGCAAGAATTTATCCCAAGAGTAAGTGGACAGAAAACCATCAAGGAAAGACCCCAACCATCACGTTCCCCACACAACTACACCAGTTCAGAAAATAACAGTAAACTTAATAGAAGCCAGAGAGAAAATGTACCTGAAGCTTATCTAGATACTGAGGTTGACCATGGCCTTTCTTGATAGTGCCAGTAAGCTCCAAAAGCCGGTCAGCTAAGGTAGACTTTCCATGATCAACGTGCGCAATAATCGAAAAATTACGAATTTTATCAGACGGGTACTGGTTCAAATCAATACTCGAACTATCTTTGCCATGGTGACGAGCAGAGTTCGAACAGAAGGAAGCATTTTGACTCCAACCCAGGTGATAACATGGTGAAATCAATCTCCTACTAGTACTATCAAAGCAGGCTTCAGCAGATATGGTTCCCCTGCTTCTACCACTGAACAGAAGATTGGAGATTTGAGAATACTTGAACCTTGCCGCTCTGTTCACGGACCCCATTTTTCAGTGGTGATTTGAGATTCACTCTGAAAAGGGGCGGGTGGGTTTTAAGTCAGGGTTTAAGGCTCGGTATCACTTAACACATAATGGGAGTAATTGGAAAAATATTGAGAAGTGGAGGAAAGCTCCTGTTTGCCTGCTATACCGCCGTCAGACTGAAAGTTGAGGGTTCTTGTTTCGATTTGGTCTGAGACTCGCCTTCCCGGCTGTGGACTGCCGCCTGCGGCGCCGATTGAGAATGTAATAATCCTTATTATTCGGATTAGTTTCCTTTTTATTAATTTCCCTTTTTATTAATAGAATTATTTCCTTGTTTTATTAATTGAATTATTTTGAACCAGAGGTATACTCTTAAAAAATTCTTCCAATTACTTAAATAATTTCAATTTTTATATATATTTGTATAATAAAATAACTATAATTGAATTCATAAGTGTTGATATGAAGAGATGAAGTTATTTGAATTAATAACAACAACAACAAAAATACAACAATTTAAAATATTGTGAGGTACAGATTAGTAAAACGATATATATATGTACTAAAGAATAGTAATTAAAATGTTTTCAATCACTAATGCAGAATAAAATACGGTGTTGGTGGTGCACAATCAAGATATTCAGATAGACATTTAGGAGGTGCTTGTTTAGAAGGTTTTGATACCAATTCTATGCGTTTGAAATCCATTAATGGTGCCTGCTTTATAAATTGGCATGGGTCTGGCCCACAAAATAAGATTTCACAATTCTTTCAATCCAATTTTTTTGGTGGATTTGATAGAACAAAAATTTTTTTTTAACTTTTCTACCATTTTGCCCTTTCTCTCTCGCCTCCACTAGTTTATATCTTTCCTCTTCCTCATCTCAACTTTCATTTTTCTCCTTCCTCCTCTTCGGCCTCCACCTTCATCCCCTTCTTTTTGCAAAAATCAAAATTATCCCTTCATTAGAGTTTAATTCACCCTTTCCTTGCCTCTATATTTCCCATTTTTTCTATGTTTCATGTGCACAAGGACATATTTCCAGATCCGTTGAAGTTTATGTCCATAAAATTCGAAACTCTTTGAACCATCCAATTTCCACTTTTTGTCTTCTCTCTTCATTCATTCATCGGTAGTTAATGTCACCTCTGTTGCAAGAGCTAAACTTTCTATCTGTTTAGTTAGTTAAATACTTGAATATGAATAATATGAGAAACTAAGGAAATTGAAAAATGGTTAAAACCCATAAAACAAAACTTGGATTTGTCCCTGTTGATGGAAATTTTCTTTCCTTTTGCAACTGGTTCAAGCCTTCGACGGGAGGAAGAGAAATGCAATTTTTTGTTTTCATAATGAATGCTATTTAGGGATAAAATGGACATTTTGTCTTATTTTTCATTCCAAATTTTTCACTAACCAAGCAATAGATAGAGGGAATGATAGTTTATAAACAAAAGCCATAGAAATTGGAATACTATCAAACCCCTTTTCGATCATATCCCTACGGGTGAACCAGGCACCTCCTAACTAGATTGGTCCTTAACAAAAATGTGATACTCCATAATTCATGAACAATAGTATTGAAGCTCAATAGATAATTGAGCTTACTAGCTTAGTGAATTAGTACAAAAATTATGCAAAAGATTTGTTAGTAGGGCTGCTAATTAATCGGGTCAACCTGACGACTCGCCCGAACCGAACTCATTTCGGGTCAAACGGTTCGGGTAATCGAATTAATTTCAAGTTATACGGGTTCACCTGATTAACCCGTATAAATATTTTGGTCGGGTGCGGGCGGGCTAGTCATTACTTCGGCCCCGCCCGAACGAAATAATATTATTATTTTTTAAAAATATTTATATACATGTATATAGTGTTACTTCATGGCTGTTTCTAGTTTCCTCCGAAGCGCCGTCGCCCTCCTTTTTCTCTTCTCCACCTCTCTCGGCCAAAACTCCCACCTTCCTCTTTTTTTTTTTTTTTCTCTCTCTGAAGCTCCTTTTCCTCTTCTCCCTCCACCTTTCTCGGCCACAACTCCCACCCCAAACCAACCTCCCTCTTTTTCCTCTACCTCTCTCGGCTACAACTTTCATCCCCAAACCACCTTTTTTTTAAAAAACAACAAGTTACAATTCGAGATTTGCTCTTCAGACACGAATATTTTCTCCTTCTTTTTTCTCTATATCTTCTCAGATCTCCAATCTTCCAATTCAGTAACATTAATTCTTTTCCTTCATCTTATTTCAATCAAAATCGCCCAGATCTGACAGATTTTTCTTGGACTACAGCATCAATCGCCACCTTTTTCAGCATCTATTTGTTTGGAATTCTTTTTTTCTCATTTTTTTGTTCCTTTTGAAAGGATTTTGTAGAAATAATAAGAATTTCTTGTATATGTGTCGTTGTTTCCTTGAATGGTGTTTGAACTCTGAATCCCAATTCTATTGAAATCTCACTGATTTAAGGTTAAGGAATGAATAGGTTGCATTTTGCTGTTGAATTGTTGATTGTATTCTGTTTTGTTATGTATTTTGGTAAAACTAGAATTGTTGACTTGTTGTATTGACTATTTAATTCGGTTACCTCGGCCACCAAACCGAAAAAACCGATTATTTTTTCGGTCGGTTTGGTTCGGTTCAATAAATTTTTCGGTTCGGTTTCTGGCGGATCTTCTGAAAGAAAAAAACCGATTAACCCAAATCGAATAACATTTGAACCGACCGAACTGAGCGAATCGACCGAATTAGCAGCCATGTTTGTTAGATACTAGAAATGCACACGTAAAGCATTTTCTAAATAGTAAATCCTCTTTCTTATACTCGTATTAAAGTATTTTATAACTGGTTGAATATCTATTAACGCGATTAAATAAAAATATTTATAAGAACATAATAACAATTAACTTGTATCTATTAACGTGATTAAATAAAAATATTTATAAAAACATAATAACAATTAACTTGTTACCATTAGGAATATGATATTATCGGTGTCGCTCATTTCTTTATGTACGGATTCAATGTACATCAGCTTGAAACTTCTATCAACATGATTAAATAAAAATATTTCTAAAAACATAATAGCCATTAAATTGTTACCATCGTGAATATGATATTATCAGTATCGCTTATCTCTTTCGATACCCATTTAATGTATATAAGCCTGACTATTGTTCCAAAACTAAAGAAGAAACCTTTTAAAAAAATGCTGCATTTCCAGGGAAAAGGAAATGTGCCATTTCCATCCACAAATGATATCCTAACAAAAAAAATTCCTAAAAATCCAGTTGGCCAATACACAGGTGGAGCCCCCAGTGAAAAAGATGATAAAAAAACGCGCACAAAGTTTAGTAGGCACCCCACACACACACACACACACACAAACACACGCTTAAAAAATAGGAAGTCTCAGCTTCAATATGACGCCACCTGAAATGTTCGCCTGGGTATAAGGAGAAACTCCTCCACAGAAGAAGACAGAAGAGTCCGGGAGAACTCCAGTCCGAAGCCGGCGATCCTCAATTCAATCATCCTGATCAAATCTTCGGTCTATCGTTCTCTTCCTCGTGTTTATCTTCTCAATTCGGTAAATCTCCTTAATCTGTATGTGCCCCGTAATTTGTTACCAACGTAGTCCCGTAAGAGCTGTTTCTTTACGTGTAATTTAGGGTTTTTTGTTTATATGTTTTTTTTTGATTCTTTGTTCGAGCTGGATTTGTGGATTGCGATTGTGTTTTTGGGTTGCGGTTGTGTTGGATCGATGTTATATCTTCCCTTTGCTTTGTCTAAGATTTTGGTGGATCTAGGGTTTTGGTGTTTCAATCAATTAGATAGGTTGTTGCTGATTCTCTTATTTGCACTGTTGATTACGGTTGGTTATATGTCTTGTGATGTGTGGGGGTTGAATTTGTTGCTGGTTTTTCTTTTGTCATCAGGGTAACAGGAAGATGTCAACTCCAGCAAGGAAGAGGCTTATGAGGGATTTCAAGAGGTTACAGCAGGACCCTCCTGCCGGCATCAGTGGTGCTCCTTATGATAACAATATCATGCTCTGGAACGCTGTTATTTTTGGGTGGGTACTCTTTATTTTTGACTTTAAGCATTTCTTTTAGCTCAATGTCTTCCTTATATCAGTTTGTTGATTTAACTCATGATACCTTTTACTTGTGTTTTACTAACCTCTTTGTTTCCTTATGCAGCCCCGATGACACTCCTTGGGATGGTGGTAAGTTCATTTGGCAACATTACGCTTCACTTCTTGCACACGAACTGAATTTCTGCTATGAATTAGATATTTTCAAAGCATGCCTTTATTGATTTCATCCTGCTATTAGTTGGCCACGGTTTACATGTATCTACTTTGATGTGTTTCAACATATCATTCTGGGGCATTATGTTAGGCATTTTCGTTATGGTATATTCTTTATATCATCATGTCGACAAAGCTGTGTCTGCATTACCAAATTTGAATGCTTCGGGCTCTATATAATTCCCTTGTTGGACTCCTTGGATTTTTGAGCTTGAGATTTTTTACTGTACTTATTACATTTAGAATGAGTTCCGATGACTGCTTTGATGTTGTTTTAGTTTCCTGAGTCCATGATCAATTCATCTTTATTGAAAGTTATAACTTTAATTGTGTTATTCCTTTAGAGTTTAGACCTGTGACTGAAGGTTAACCCTTTTTGTGGTTAAGTGGCTAAATCTAGTACCTTTTGCCATATAAGGCTTATGGAAAGCTATACTTTCTGTGTCCCAGATTTTCGTTAGCATTAGGCAGTGATGTTTGTTTTGCGATTCGTTAAGTAGCTATCTGTATGGTTTGCGTTCAAAAATTTAGTTCGTTTAATTATGCAGGTATTTTTTTAAAAGGCGATACTTTAGTTGGTTTGGTTTTTCACCTTTTTCTGATGCTACTCTTGAATTTTTTCCCCTGTTAGTGTTCCATTCATTTTCTTTCTGTTGTGTCTCATTCAATTCTGCTATTCTATTTCGTTACAGGAACGTTTAGGTTGACATTGCAATTTACTGAGGATTACCCAAATAAGCCTCCTACTGTGAGGTTCATTTCAAGAATGTTCCACCCAAATAGTAAGTGGTTGATGTATTTCACTTGCACTCCTTAAGCGTCATGAAAGATTTGAAATGCTGTCGTTAAGTATAATTTCTTGCTGTGTAACTGTGTTTGCAATTGAACACACAAAGTTCATACAAATTTATAATTTTTAATATTGTGTACTTTCTTTGGTTGATGATCAGTTTATGCTGATGGAAGTATTTGCTTGGATATTCTGCAAAATCAGTGGAGTCCAATCTATGATGTAGCAGCTATTCTGACATCCATCCAGGTACAGTTAGTTTTTTGTTAGACAGCTGATTTTTTACATCTCCCCCTCAACAAATTTGAATAATTCTCATGTTTTGATTTCCAACAATGTTGTAATTGGTGATCAGTGTTTGGATTGGTTCATTTGTTGATATATCCTGTTTGAGTTTCTCTCCCATATATGGAGAATAAAACTTAGGATAAACCAGCACACAGAATTAGAGTATTCTAAGCTTAATGGTGATATTTTTTTCAAAATGTTATTTAATGGAATTGGGAATGTGTAATGTGGCTATGAATGTTTAAACTTAAAACCTTTCTTCTGACTTTCTAATTTCGATATGAAGTTTATTCGTTTGTGCAGTTTTTTAGGTCTTTGTTCTTTTATTGAGGTGTTTTGGAGGTAAATTCTTTATTTCTGTGGTTTAAAGCATGGCAAGATAAAAGTTTATTTGTTGGTGTATTTATCATCTGTAGCTTTTTTGGTTACTTTGATGCAACATAGCAGAGTTAAAGTGGTTGTCTGTTTTCTTCTTTTAAGGAAAGCCCTTTTTATGCAAATAATTGCTCTTATCTTATTTCTGTCGATGCTCACCTGTAATCTTATATCTGCAGTCACTGCTTTGCGACCCAAATCCCAATTCACCGGCCAACTCTGAAGCCGCACGGTTGTTTAGTGAGAATAAGCGTGACTATAACAGGAAGGTGCGTGAAATAGTGGAGCAGAGCTGGACAGCTGACTAATATTTCCTTGCTAGGCGAATTATGGAAGGGCATCAACACTGAGCTAAGTTTGATATAAAAGAATCCCTTTCTCCTGGTTAGGATAATTCCTATATTTTGTAGGAAAATGTTATCAGTGATTAATAACTTATGTAGTTGGACCGTGGACTATTTATGTTATGTATTGGTTTGCTTGTAAGCGACTCCCAAGTGTCAATTGTCCAGATCAATTGCTAGTTTTATTCGAGTCCGTGTACATAATGTCCTCTTTTTTTTCTTTGTATTTGTTGGGATTGATATAGTTTGAGTTTTTTTGTCCTGGAGAACATGTTATGATTTGCAAAAAGGAAATTTGTTTAATAAATTCAGTCTTTTTCCTGTTATCGATCCTGGTGTTTATTTTATTTTAATTTTTTTTTTGAACTCAGATCTTGGTTATTAGTTTTGGGTTAGTTGTATGTGTATCTGCATAGGCTTTGTTGTTTGTGACTTGTATCTGCTTATGGGGGAAGATGACCAGACGGTAGTGATGGTAATTTGCCTGTGGCTGATTATGGTTAATTTATTGAAGACTAAACAAATGTTGGATTGCAAGTTGCAATAGAAATATGAATTGGACATGCCATGTTCTCTATAAGTGGGGATTAGAACAACATTTATACTTACCTCAGATAAGGAGTTACTACTCTATTTACTAAAATGTTACTCTGTAGCATATCATGTGATATAATGCCTGTTCTAACCTCTGATGAAACACATCATGTGATGTAAACGTCACATGATAAGGGTTTCCATCGTCGGGTTTTAAAGGCCAGAAAACTTTTATATATGCTTTGCCTGTGACAACTTTTTTCTTTTTTCTTTTTTCTTTTTTCTTTCTTTGAATTAAAAAATGTGATAACAAGAAGGGAGAAATACATGCCCTCACACAATGAATAGAAAAATGGAATCAAAGCCACTAGTAGGCGGAGTTTATTGTCCTCGTGATTTTATTTTTTTTTTGTCGAAAAAATAATTTGTTATATCAGAAAAAGTAACTAAAGAATAATTGCACAGAAACCAAATCTAGGTACACTTTGTTATATACAGAAAAAAAAAAAGTAACTAAAAAATAATCGCATGTAGTATGACCAAGATTATTAGGTGTGGTGATTGATTTTCTAAACTAAACAAATACTGAAACTCTCTCTATTTCAAAATTATTGTCCAGTTTGACAACAATTTCAAGACGGTGAAATATTTGTTCTTATTAAAAACATGGAAATAATGATTGATACATCCAAGAAATAACAGTTACCAAACAAAATTTCGGCAATTTATCCAGTATACCCGGAAGGATCATGCTCCTCTTCTTATTTTCTGCACATATAGTCCTTATTGTATTTTTCCTCAATATTCTTATATTTTGTAAATTTAGTCCATGTCATTTTTTTTCTTTCCCCTCGAAAAAATATATCTAATCTTTAAACGAGTATATCTCCTAATCCGTGAAGAATTAGAGACTGTGTTACACATTATTATTCTCGTCGAGATCTAGCCAACAAGCTGCATATCAAATATTTAATTTAATTTATGGTTGTGACTTTTTCATTAGTTAATATTTAATATTCTTGCCGTTGCCGGGGAAGGCAATAATCAATATAAAACTAAATTATTTATTTATTAATTTAGACTAGTATATTTTCCCTTGTTTTATTAATTTATTATATTTTTAATTTTTAATTTTATTCTCTTTTCTTTCTGTGTCAATATTTTTGTAGGATTTTGGAGTTATCATAGAGAATTTTAACTATGGATATGAAAATACTCCGTATTATGGTTATGATTCTGAATATGGAAACTATCCTGCATATCAAGAAGATCCGTATTATTGGAGCAATTGTTCTTATGATCCTTACTATGGTGGTGATTGTCAAGGATATTCATGTGATGCTGAGTACAATTTTGGTTTTGAGAGTCCCCATATGAGTTCTAATATGTTGCCTCGTTTAGAGAGAATTGAAAAATTGCTGATTGACAACAATAAGAATAATAGTTCAACTTTATATCAAGATGATTGTTCCCACTTAAATGCATCTGTATATCAACCACCACCTTCTCAACCCACTCTTAGAGAGTTAGCAGCTCGTCAACCCACTCTTAGAGAGCTAGCAGCTCGCCAACCTACTCTTAGAGAGCTCGCAACCTTACAGTCATCACCTCGTCAACCTACTCTAAGAGAATTAGGATCGTTAAATCAGTAGCCACCTGCTCAACCTCAACTTACTGTTAGAGAGACAGCTCTTCGAGATTTTGAAAATGAAAAAGGCAAACAACTTATTAAAGAAGTTAACCAATATAGGCTGAGTGTGGGGTTGCCAGAATATAATCCTATAGGGAATTTGCTTAAATTGAATAAAAATGAGAAGATTTCTAAAGATGATAAACTGGTCCAGTCTCCTGAGCCACCATCTCAAACTGAGCTTGAATGTGACGAATTGAAAGAGACCTAAGAGATTACAAGTCCAAATATTACAAGTTCTCTTGATTCTTTTGGTGTATACATTGTGGTGAATCATGATTCCCTTATTTCGAGAGTTGGTGATAAAGATGTGGATCACGTTGATTTCACTGAGCAAAACATTCCTATAGATTCAAAAGAAGGCTTTGAGGTAGACATATGTGGTGAGTTTGGCCCTAACCAAGGTGATCCTGAGGATGATGCAAAAGATAATTCAATGAAAGACTAAGAAAAGAATCAATGGTACAAAATTGAATTTGAGAAAGAGAATATAGTGGTCCTGGAATACAAATTCATATTTTCTCATGGGAAAGAGAACCACTACAAGATATTCATTGTTGCTGTAGAACATGGTTTCTTCCGATATCGAGATGGGTGCTCTGACTGATTGACCATTAAGTCTGGGTAAAGACTTTAAAACCACGCTTATTGGGAGGCAAGCCAACATTTTATTTTGCTTTATTTATTTCATTTTATTTTTTTTAATTTTGCAAATAAGTTGATGGTTAAGTTTTTTGTTCCTGATTATTTAGAAATCTTTGATTTCTGGGTTTTCATGGTTTTTCTTAATCATCTGTCTAATAGAATTTAGGTTTATTTTTGTTTTTGTTTGGCAGCTATTCTGGAATAAATGGTGCTTGGATGGTCGTGCAACAGATCTCTTCATTCTTTTTCTCCAACAATTTCAGTTCTCCGCTTCACATTCTCAAGGTTGTATCGTTTCTTTACATTTTTTTTATTTATGTCTTTTCTTTTCTTTTCACATGGTTGTTTTGTCTTTTGTGTTTTATACATTGAGGGCAATGTATATTTTAGTGTGCGGAAGGAATTTGTGTGTTTTTTGTCTAATTTTTTAAAAAAGAAAAATCAAAAATCAAAAAAATAAAAAATTTAAATTGAAAAAATCCAAAAAGGCCTATGATGAGTATGGTTTAATATCTATAGCATACGAAAATTAGACTATTTTGAATTGTATTTCTTAACTTGTGTAATTCTATATGTTGCTTCGAATACCCAGCTTTTTATGCACTTAGTCGTGACTATGAGATAAACATAAAGTGAGATATAGTTGCATGAGTTTGATGTATATATGCCATGAAAAGTTGTGTTTGATTTGTTCATACTCATATGATTTGTATGTGGAACCCATCATGTTGTGAAGGAAAAGCAAGACATTAATCGAATATCAGCCTTAAAAACCTTCTTGCTTTGGCACTTTGTGTTAAGTAAGTTTGGGGGAGGGGTGTTGGCAAATGCTTCTGAAGTTAGGTTAAATTTAATAAGGGAGAAAGGGAAGAGAATTCAATGTTAATGCTAGCCCTATTGAGAGGTAAGGAATTGGCAACCATAAGCGGAGAGTCCTCAGGCCCGGTGAGGAAAAACATACATAGGTTGCTCTAAGTTTCTGAGCCACTATGCACAAGAGTGAAAAAAATGCTCTGGGTAAGGGCCTGAGTCGAAAAAAGTCCTGAAGAAAAGCGGTATAGACCAAAGAAAGGTTTACGAGATGGAATAGGTTGTCTGTGAGATAAGTCCTTCTACTTCATAATATGCTTGGAGGTCCATTGCATTAAAATATGGTGTGAAATGTGAGTTTGTTGTTAAAGTAATATGGCATATTTGCAGTAGAGCTTATGTTTCCTATGTTGAATTGAAAGTGAAGTCCCTAAGAAGTGGATCACATACACACACAAGCGTGGGTGCTAAAAGTGCATATGGTTTGCATATAGTTATGTGGTACATATTAGAGGTAGTTGAAACTTTTGTATTATACGATGTTAAATCTCTGAGGCCTCCAAATTAAATAATTTAATATTTTTGTTTATTTAAATTCTTGAGAATGCTTGAGGACAAGCAATCTTTCAAGTTTGGGGGTATTTGATGTGCACATAATATATCTATTTTTAATATCCCTTTATGCGAGATTTTGCCAATATTTTGAGTAAAAATATGTTATTTATGGGATTTTATCTTTAATTGTAAGAATTGTACTCAAAAGGATAAATTGTTGAAATTTTAGACTAAATTGAAGATGAGAAGCATTCAAAAGGGAATAACTGAAGACTAGAATAATCAAGGGGGAAGAAATCTGATGAGTTGAAAACTTTGAGGGCTTGAATTGAAAATATGGCATTGTGGACTGAATTCTGGCCGAACGAGAGGAATTGGACTTGCATGGAATGGAGTGGGCTGGTTTCGGCTGGGTTCTGAAGCCCAAATGCTAAAAAGAGTGGGCTAGTTTACTTACTGAAATTAAATAAAAGAAGTTGCCCATGTTATCAATTTAAAACCCACGTTGGCTCCAATTTCCTTTCTTGAGGAGTAATACACTGAGAGCATCCAAGTACTATTATAAAGGGGGCTCTTGTTTTATTATTCTGGGGGAGAACCGGGCGCACAAAAAGAAGCCACGCAAAGAGCTATTTGGACCGAGGCTTAGGCTGGTTTCCTTCACGGCGGACGCAATCTTCTCTCCGGGTTCCATTGTTCCTTACTTTATTTTATTTATTTTAGAATAATG